CGTTATCGTGATATGATAAGTGATTTTTTGATGCCAATTGTTCATGATAATGGTATGGAGCACTTCTGGTTTCAACAAGATGGCGCTCCACCACACACAGCTCGAGCCACTATCAATTTTTTGAAACAATTGTTCCCTGGACGTTTGATGTCAAAAAATGGTGATTTTGAATGGCCACCGCGTTCACCAGATTTAACGGCTCCAGACTTCTTTCTGTGGGGCTATTTGAAATCAAAGGTTTATGTCAACAAGCCAAGGACCCTAGACGAACTTAAGACCAACATCCGACAGGAAATAGCCGCCATATCGGCCGAAACATTGTTCAAAACGATGGAAAACGCTGCAAAACGGGCACTACTCGCCATGCAGGCTCAAGGCGATCATTTAAGAGATATCATATTCAACAAATAATGTACACAAATCTCCTTGAACCACATTAAATGGCTTTTACAATAAAAAGCAAAAAATGTGTTTTTTTTCCCATGATTAACAAAAAAACATCTTTCCGTCGAATATGGCCAACCCTGATGTAATATCTATCTGCCTTTTTGTAAGCACTGATCAGGATAAATTTGGCCAATAAACTCAAACTGAAACACAATAATATAGGCTCTTCAATCCATAAAAATAGGAACAATGAAAGTTGCAATGAAAGTTGCATGTTATCCAATTTGGAAATAAGTTCTAAATCATTGAGGCATAACTGATAGTGATTTTATAACGATGCGAATAATGACTTTATTTATAATTTACACATGTTTTTTTGTTAATTTACATATGAGTTTTTATTTCTTATTAGAATTCCGGTAGGTTAATTTATTTGCGTTTATTTTTTCGTAAGAAGTCTTTTTATTCTTTTTTATCAACTATAACTTTTCCAAGAGATATGAAACACATTTGACTGTTCAATCGTACGTGAATAATGTCGAGTTCTCAAGACTCACCTGAACTGTGAATATAATGAATATGCGAGCATTTACGATAATTAATTTGTACTGCGATTTTTTCGATAAGTTAATGTCTGAAGAGGGCTCAATCCGGTAGCCGAAACTTGTAATGAATATTTCTATTTAAACTGAGTTTTTATTATTTTTTATTTATTTTTTACTATATAATTTACTTTTGTCTATCTGTAATTTATTCTTTTAATTGTGTGACTTTTTTAAAGAAATATATTGACTCTTACTTTGCCCTTTATTTATTGTTATTTATTTTATTCATTTTAGTTTAATGTATCAATTTTTCCTTAAGTCTTGCGTTATTATAATGATTACTTTTTGATTTCTACGAAGGAGAATATACAAGAAAACATAGATATTAAACGATTTCCGAGTGATCGCGAAACCCTCAAAAATTGGTATCTTGCTTTTAACAATTTTTAATTTAAATAATGGACATATCATCCACATATATTAGTGCAGTGTAGTACAAAGAATTCGTTTTTGTTTCAGAAAATGCAGCAAAAACATATTATTTTTACGTACCCGTGGGTATTACTATCATTAGTAATGTTTTTTTTTTCATCTGCACAACACTAACGATTCTGTACCAGAAAATACATACAGCTAGTGAGATGAAAGATTCGGAGAGTAAGCGCCACGAGGAAAATAAACAAAGGTACATACAATTAAGGGCCCAACTGCGATTAATTTGGATCGACGATTAGATTGGAATTAACCAATCATATTTGTCATTTGACTTGACGATGGATGCGATTAATCAATAGACTAACCGTTGATTAAAGTTAATCGGAGTTAGTCGAAGTGGTCCTAAAAGAATTAATGTTATTCAATGCACTCGCATTTATAAAAAACTGCATAACTGTATAGTTAACTGATACTAAAGGAAAAATTTATTATTATTTTTATACATACTTAATAACAACAATAAACAGTTGAAAACAATTTTAAAAATCAATAAACTGAAAACAAATAAACTAAATTTTAATCACAGAAAATTTCAAAAATTCTCTTAATATTCTCTTAAAAATATTGTACGATATTTGACGTAATAAACTAAAAAGATCAGTAGCCATATTAGAATTTAAAACCAAATTTTATTTTATTAAAAGTGAATTAAAACCACAAGACAATTATCTGCATGATATGCAGATCACCAATATTCTTTTTATAGGTAATATAATTATTTCATAAATTATTAGAATAATGATCATTATGTATGTAAGCATACATTAACGCTTCTGAATTTTCTGACTCTACATATACCTATCTGCATTACATACGTATACATATAATTTATTTTAATGAAAGAAACAGATATGTATATCCATTTACAAATAGCCTCACATATATTAATTATATTTGCCTTATAGTTTCTATTTATAATAATAAAATTGCGTGCGTGCGTGCGTGCGTGCGTTCTCAAAGTCTGGTAT